CGTAGAGCCATTAACTACATCCCACTGATTTCAGTATACAAATATGCGCGCGCGGGTGCGCACACAAACACACACACAAACAAACACACACACAAACGCATCTACACACACACAAACACATCTAAACACACACACACAATCTACACACACACACAAAATAACACGCACAAACACACACATCTATATATATATATATATATATATATATATATATATATATATATATATATATATATATATATATATATATATATATATATATATATATATATATATATATATATATATATATATACATATAAATATATATATATATATATATATATTATATATATATATATATATATATTATGTATATATTAAATATATATATATATTATATATATATATATATATAATATATATATATATATATGTATATATAATATATATATATATATATATATATATATATATATATATATATATATATATATATAGATAGATAGATAGATAGATAGATAGATAGATAGATAGATAGATATGTGTGTAAATATGTATATGCGTATGTTATTACTTAACACCTCTTCGTCATCCCCAACATTTTCCTCTTCCTCTCCTGCTGCACAACCCTCTTCAATATCAACCCTCTCTTCCCTTATTACTACTCTTCGTACTTATTGTCCTTCCCCCGCAGAACTATTCCACTCCACACCTCCCCATATTCCTCTCGCCCTCTGCCTCTACCTCTACCTCAGCAAACCTTCTGAGTACTCTATTTGGCCCAGCCAAGTGGGATCGATTCTTTGTGATTCCCCCCACAGCCCCCTATTCTGAGAATACCCTTCTCTTTCAGCAGTGCCTCCAAAATATGCCTTATCATGGTTACATCTGAAGCCCAAGCTCGTGCTCTATCTACCCTAACTGACCTTACTGGCAAACCCTTTCCTGCCGAACCTCACCCAACTCTTAATGCTTGTACTGGAAATGTTTCTATTCCCCAAATGCTTGTCCCATGTATAACAAGAGTGGTCAGACTGTGAAAATGATCTACTTTCCTGCCTTGGTGAATATGATACAGTGGCATTACATAAACAAGACCTCCCCCATGAGGTTTATATTGGTGGGTTGTCTTATCATGTCTGACAGTATTGACCCCTTCCTCGTCAATGTCAAAAATGTTGGCGTTTTGGCCACCCAGCCAAACTTTGTCCCTCCACGCCCTGCTGCCCTGTATGTGCCCAACCTGGTCATGACCATTCAAATTGCCCTGCTCAGTCATGTATATCTGCCAATTGTGGAGACCCATGTTTCTTTATAGGAGCTGCCCTGCCTATAAGTTTGAAAGTGAGGTAGCAGTCCTCAGATTTAAACTAGGCCTCCCTCTATGTGAGGCCAGACAGGAACCACTTATTCCAAAACAGTCCTACGCTCTGCTCCCCCCACCAACTACAAAAGATATTTCTCCCCAGGTATCTTTTCCCTATACCCAAAACCTACGTCCTATGTCTACTCACCCTATCCACCAGTCACATCTATTTTCCATCCTTAATCCAGATACTCCAATCTCTACCACTTCCCCTATACCTACCCCTCCTCCTCGTTTTTGTCGTCGTACCAGACAACCTAAACGTTCCACTTCACGCTCTCCTACTCCATTCTCTCCTACACCTTCCTCTTCATCTGTTCCTCAGATATCCATCCCCTCTTCTCCTCCTTATAAGAGAACTTTTGTTTCTCAGTCCTCTATACCAGAGTACCCCCCCCCCCTCAGAAACCCTTGAAGAAATCTAAAACTTCCTAAAGATGACCCAAGGAAACACTGTGCTCCCACATCCAACCCCCAATCCCTCTGTTCCTACTCCTGCTATATTTAAAGTATTTGCAGATATTCATCCTCCTCCTTCCCAAGTTCCCTCCACCCCCCTTCCTCCTACACCCTCTCAACATACCCCACCCTCTCTACCACTTCTACTTGAATACTTGCACGAATCCTCTCTATCACAAGAGTGTCCTTCTCCTGATCCCTCCTTTCCAGACATTTTTCCTAATGCTTCACCACCTTCCCAGTCTCCCTTTCTCAACCCTGGATTTCTCTCCTCCTACTTCTCCAACAGCCACCTCTATCTTCCTTGATCAATGTCCCTACTCCTTCCCAGTCACAGATAAACTGCAATTCGCTCAGTTGTTATACCCCTTTATATTCCCCCAACCCCTCCCCAAAATACCTCAACCTCTCAACCACCCAAACCACCCATACCATCCAACCCCCCCCCCTACCAAATCCCCATCCTTCCCTACTATCCCTGCCACTCCCTCCTGAATACACACGTGAATCTCTTTTATCACAATACCCTTCCCCAGCCCCCACCGTCCCTATTGAACCCCCAGGCACTACTCATTCACCTACACCTGATCCTTTATCTAAACCTTCAGATACGTAATCCCTTACTACTAAGACAGCCTATCTACCGTTATCACCTATTATCCCTATAACTTCCCCATTCACAGATACAATACAATTCATTTAATTACTCTACCTGCTTAACCTTTCCCACTTATTAATCACTGCTCTACTTCATTTACTTCCCTTCTTTCCCTTTTCATTACCATACTCTCCTACAACACCCTCTAATCTTTGATATCTAACACCCTCCCTTCTCCCCGGATTCTTCTCTTACTCTTCAACAGCTCTCTTCTTCCTTGAACATTTTTCCTATACTTTCCCCAGTGACAGATACAGTGTAATTCACTAAATCACCCTCCCCTCCCCTTTATACTAATTTCTGCTCTAATTCACTTGCTCTGTCATTCCCCCTTTTCACTACCCTACTATCCTATAACACTCTTAAATCTTTGACATCTAACACATTTTATTGTAATCTTTAACTCTCCTTTGTCCTTTCCAATGCAATACTTTACCATTGTACTACATGACCTTTGATGTCTAACACATTTATTTTCAAACATTCAACATTAAACATTGTGGAGCCATCTGTATGTAAAAACAGTTACTAAGTTAAACACACATTGCCCATGGTATGTTCGCACGTGCCATCCCTGTCGGCATGTAGTTAATTATTCTTAAGTCTGTTATAAAATTCATTGTAAGTGATATAGGTAATCATTATTGTTATTTTTACATCAACATCATTTAAAGTATTACTGATGGGAATATATATATATGCATGTATATATATATATATATATATATATATATATATATAATATATATATATATATATATATATATATATATATATATATATATATATATATATATATATATATATATATATATATATATATATATATATATGTATATATATATATATATGTATATATATGTATATTATATATATATATAATATATATATATTATATATATATATATATATATATATATATATATATATATATGTATATATATATATATATATATATAATATATATATATGTATATATATATAATATATATATATATATATATATATATATATATATATATATATATATATATATATTTATACTTTCCCCAGTGACAGATACAGTGTAATTCACTAAATCACCCTCCCCTCCCCTTTATACTAATTTCTGCTCTAATTCACTTGCTCCGTCATTCCCCCTTTTCACAATCCTACTATCCTATAACACTTAAATCTTTGACATCTAACACATTTTATCGTAATCTTTAACTCTCCTTTGTCCTTTCCAACGCAATACTTTACCATAGTGCTACATGACCTTTGATGTCTAGCACATTTTTTTTTTCAAACATCAATTAATTTACTTACTCATCAGAAATAACAATCATCTCTCTCCCTCTCATATATCTTATGGATTGTCCTTTCTCTTACATGTGTTATGTAACCACTTAGTGTTTTCGTGGCAGTGTGTTACTTCACACTGGCATTTTTGTCTCTCTCCCTCTTTATCTTCTTTTCCCTCTCTTTATCTCCCTCCTTCTTTCTTTCTTCTCTCCTTCCCTCTCCTCTCTGTCAGGGTTTTGTTTCCCCTGACTTTGGTGGGCTATGGAGACACAATTCTGCATTGGTTGTTTATTGATAAGAGGTGGTAGCGTGGCGTGGCTGTCTCGTGCAAAGGCGAGTCCAAGGGCGCGCCGAGCGGGACGCGCGTGGGGAGACCCCCAAGGGGAGGTCTGTTTAAGGCGCTGACCCCGGTCAACTGTGTGGAACCACTGAAGAACTGGTCCTTGGTCTATAGCGCTGGGGACGTGGACAGCTAACCCCCTCTCTCTCCAAATGACCATATAAATGAAAATGTCCACAAAATGTTAGGACTGATTGCCAACATGAAGAGGGCATTCGTGTATGTGGACGAAGATATGGTAAAGAAGATTATTAAAGCAATCATAAGACCAGCTCTTGAGTACGGTGCAGTGGTATGGAGTCCACACTTGAAAAAAGATACTGACAAACTGGAAAGAGTCCAAAGAGCGGCGACAAGATGGGCACCTACCCTAAGAGATCTGAGTTACGAAGACAGACTACAAAAATTAGGACTTATAACCTTGGAAGAAAGAAGGAAAAGGGGGATATGATTATGCTTTTCAACTGCATTACAGGAAGAGTGAAGATAGATAAGGATGACTTTTTGATCTTGAACACAAGAAGAACGAGAGGACACAACAAAAAGTTGAAAGAAAAAAGAGGTGATAAAGATGTCAAAAAATATAGTTTCCCAAACAGAATTATTGAATCGTGGAACAGTCTCCCCAATCAAGTAGTGTGTGCCAAAACTGTACATCAATTTAAAAAGTTATATGATAATTTAAATACAGCAGACGGGACCACCTGAGCATAGCTCTTCTCCCGTATCCAAACAACTAGGTAAGAACAACTAGGTAAGACACACACACACACACACACACACACACACACTCACTCACTCACTCACTCACTCACTCACTCACTCACTCACTCACTCACTCACTCACTCACTCACTCTCACTCTCACTCTCACTCACTCTCACTCACTCTCACCACTCTCTCTCTCTCTCT